TATCGGGGGTGCTTTTGCATATTGGTATAATTGGCACAGACCTTTTTTTTTGTACATGGATATTTTATTTATAATTCTTGCTAGCTCAGCGTCTCAAAAGCTACTGACCATGGTAAAACTTGGTGAAGCAGTGAGTAGAAAAGAAGAAATCTCTTTTCTCAACAAATAAGCAAAACAAAAAAACTTGAAAAAGGGTTGGGCGATTGACTGATTAACTTTTCTATTAGTTAGTCGATACTTTAATCGCGGTTAACTGGTGATCGGTTCATCTTGAAACCGGGTAAACCTAGACAAATATAAACATTTATGTTGTTGTTGTTGTTGTTGTTGTTGTTGTTTTTTACTGACGTGCTCTCCATCTGCGAAACGCAAACACTATCCTGTTAGTCGGCGCAAAACTTAAAAAAAAAATATCTACATCATTCTTCGCGGTTAAGCCAGAATAAATTCCAACTCGAAAGCCATGTGCGATTTACGAAGAGCCCATCTGGGTTTTCGTGGCTAGCAAAGCAAGCAGACACCGTCCACGACCTGTAGGCTTGCCCATGAGAGGGCGGTCCCAAGATTAGCAGGTTCGCTGAACGCGGAAATTCCCCAAGGGCGCCAAAAGGGACAAAAGGCTCGAGCCCCACAGCTTCACTTTCCCTAATAGTGCATCTAGCCAAAGGCACAGCTGTCGGGCTTTAAGGCTTTTTCTCTCGCTCCTCTGGCATTGACGGCCGCGGTCACATTTTTCGTAATCCCACGTTGACGTCGGTCCACTATAATGACGCTCATAAAGTGTTTGGTACTACCGACGTTGTCAGTCCTCTCAAAGCAGCCGATTTTCACAACGTTCTACAACCGCTCGTCGTGACGCTCAATGGCGGCGGGACAAAAAGTCCGGGAATGTCGCTGTATGGTTCCAAAGCAGACGTGACAAATGGTGAACTGCGGTGGCCGATTGCTGTGCTTCCTCGCTTCTCAGATGGTGTGGGCCGCAAGAAAAGTAATGCCTCTATACGGTCAAAACTTTAAACGTCTCTCGAGCGTCTGTCTATAGTGCAGCAAGGATGATTGTGAAGAGGCAAGAAACTGCCTCAAGTCGAAGAATGCCACAATATTTCTTTGCTTTATGCAGCTAAAATATTATTAAGAGTGTTTTAGAGCGCAGCTCTTAGGGGCCCGTTCCCGGCTTGAGCGGCGTCGGCGTAACCAAGGTCACGCGGCCTCAAGGTCACCCCAGAGGTCACGGGACCCCTCCCCCAGGGTCACGTGACCTCTCCCCCAGGGTCACGTGACACCCAAAGTCACATGACCCCCCCCCCCCCCCCGAGGTCACGTGACCCCCTGCCGAGGTCACGTGACCTCCCCGATGACGTCATCGTCACTGATCACGTCACCGGCATCCGCATCGTCATCGTCATCATCACTGATGACGTCATCAGTGACGTCACTGATGACCTCACCGGCATCCGCACCGTCATCACTGATGACGTAATCAGTGACGTCACCGGCATCCGCATCGTCATCGTCATCATCACAGATGACGTCATCAGTGACGTCACTGATGACGTCATTGACATCCGCATCGTCATCATCGCTGATGACGTCATCGGAGTCCGCATCGTCATCGTCACTGATGATGTCATCAGTGACGTCACTGACGACATCGGCATCGTCACGTGACCCCCAAGGTCACGTGACCCCCCCAGGTCACTTCACTCCCCCCCCAGTACCCTTCCCTCCTCCTCCTCAAGAGCTGCGCTCTAATTCGGTGTTACAGGGAGTTGTAAACGGCTTTCACATTTTTTCTTGTCTTGTTTTGTTTTTACTTTATTTGACTGCGTTTATCCAATGCTCAAAATGTGCACTGCGGTGTGTTAAAAAAAACATAATAAAATGTGTCCTGCCTTTCAGCGATATTATGCCGGGAATAATTGATTACGGGGTGGCGATTATAATATTAAAAGTTTTAACCCGGTTATAACCGGGTTTGAACATTTAATCGGCGTCCATATGACTGAACCGTATGATATATTAGACTCATTCTTCTCATTAAAGAGCGCACGCGTGAACTTCATATTTGGCCATGTTTGTCTATTATAACAGTACCTGTCAGGCGACACATAAATGGCATTGTTTCTTTTGCACCACTTTTTAGCAACTTTCTAATCGGCGATATTTTAAATAAATAAACGCGGCGCACATCATGGACAGTATTTTGAGTTCTCTGTATATAATATGTGTATGCGTAAGAGATTGTCTTGATCCACCTGAAATTCTTGAGTGTTCTGACAAAACCACTTAATTTTCAGATTTCTGTTCATATGGTCCCTCGCATGGTATTTTGAGATATATGTGTCATATGGGTGCATATGATTTCTCTTTTTTTTTTTTTTAATGGTTAATCTCATAGGCACGGTCACACATGGCTGGCGAAAGCCCGTGACAGACGATCGGACTTTCGAAAACGCGCTTTGCGAACGGCTGCTGTCGCTCGACAGCAGCCGTTCCGAAAGCGCGTTGCACCCGCCACGTGCATGTCACCATTGCGCGCCCCGGTGATTGTTCCGTTGTGCTGTTTTCATTTAGTGCCAGCTGTGATCTTTTTTTAAAAAAAGGAACGAGTTATTCTTTACTTTGTTACACAGACAGACTGAATATATGTTACTCGCTACACAGGCAGAGCGAATAGATGTTACTCGTTTGTGTTCTCGGAAAGTAACAAATTGCTACTTATCTAACAAAATAGTATTAAGTATAAAAATAACACGTTGCTTGTCACGCGCGGCACGTAACGCTCTGCCGGAGAGCCACGTAACAACCTGGGGTGCAGAGCAGAGGAAAAGGTTTTCACTTATTCAACGAACCATGTTTGTGCCGCGCACCTGTCGTTGAGCTGGCAGCCCCAATTCCAGGCGGTTGCGCACAGACTGTCTGATCTGCTACCAGCGAAGGTAAAGACTCATTAAACATGGGTAAGTATGCTTTTGAGCTAGCCTCTCATTTTCAAGAATCGGTTGTCCTTCTCTTCATTTTATAGCCGCATAACTTCCCTGTTATCTTTACAAAGTTCATTACTATTGTTGGGAGTAATATGTCTCTTCTCCAGCGCATTCCTCAATGTTTTGTAGCCGGGTACGCCGTTTATCAATGAGCCCGACGCGAGTGTCGGCACTGAATCTGCGCAGCAGCGTTCAAAGACTTGGTTGGTGCCGAAGCCCATTGTCCATTTTCGTGCTTTTTGTCTCCACAAACGACGTTCTTCCATAAATCTCGCTTTCACAAAGGCTGATCCTCTCTGGGCTAAATAACAAACTGATTATACAAGTTTTTTTTTTTTTTTGTATTTTTCTTTTTATTTTAACAGATTTGTTTTAAAAAAAGTCGTGAAATCAACATTTATGCGGTTTGTGCAGGTGAGTTATACGGCCAGGAGGACATGGTGTAGGGAGATAGTCGTAACTATCAGTCGGCCAATTAGGTAAAGTTTGTTAATTAACTTTTTTATTTATTACAAATAACATACAGTTTAAATTAAAACATGCTGATATGCGTTAGAAACTTCTGATATGCGTTAAATACATCATTTTGATCTCTCCAAGCCGCTGGAAGGTGTTCACAAAAAATTCCTGATTGTAACACATTCTTGTTTCGCTTTACATATATATATATATGTAAAGCGAAACAAGAATGTGTGACAATCAGGAATTTTTCGTGAACACCTTCCAGCGGCTTGGAGAGATCAAAATGATGTATTTAACGCATATCAGAAGTGGCAGCATTCAAGTTGCCCTTGTGGAAAAGGTATATACGTGAACAGCGACGACACAGCATCATTTCGTGTTCTTTGGAGAGAAACCAACTGCTGCGAGGAAGCGCACATCCCGTTCGTAACTACGAACGTCATCTACCAATACCTTCAACTTCGAGTGTTTTGCAAGCCGCACAGTATAACTTACAAATGTAGAGGGTGTTTCACTAGACACTGATACTAATTTAAAAGTCGAATTTTAACTAAAAGAATTATACCTTCAGCACAACTTTATTTACCGAGACGGACTTCAGTTAGAGATTGTAGCATGAAAGTTACCAGGCACGCTGCACTCTGATGTCGCTCCGGGCGCGCTGCTTTCGGCAGTTTTCTACTTTTTTTCTCTAGGGCAGACTCTAGACAGTCTATATTCGCCAGGGAACAGCACGAACAACAATTAGGTTTTCTTGCTTTTCACAATTTGTATATGATATTTTGACGACGGGCAAGAAATCTCTATTTTGTAATCTGACAAATGCGAGGAATTATTAAAGTAAGTCGCAAATTTTACGTGATTATATTGTTAATTGTCACATTTTATTTATACTGTGGCGTTTCCCGCGGTGAATATTAATTTTTCCCCATTTCAAGCGTTAACTATTACAAAACCATATTTCCAGTCGTTTGTGAAACAACCTTTATACCGGGTGTTTCAGCGAAGACTCGAAAATTCCTGAAGTCGTTGAGAAAAAAATAATAATAACTCTCTACTGGAACAAAGTGCCAGCAACGCCACACACGAAGAATTGCAAAAAAACACAAAAAAACACCACTTAGCTGAATATTACACTAGAAGTTACATACTTCTAATTAGTGAAAATGAACAAATCGTTCCATCTAAAATCTTTCTCAGCATAATCGAAGACCCCTAAATCTGCTTCGAGGTACGACAGTCATATATGCCACGGCAATCAAACAATTCCACGCTTGGTTACCATTATAACTAGTAGTCGCACTTCGACATAACATTTAGCTAATTAGCGAAACATAGGCAACCCCTGTTGTGTTCATTAGCTTTTTTCCTATAGTATGTCGTTGAACTGGACCCACCTCTTTATTTGCGTGTGGACATCTGGCTTACAAGAACACTGCGTCACAATATGTCTTAACACATATGAGCTATATCCTGGGACATGGTTCTCTGCTTCAGAGATGAGCCATAGGTATTGAAAGCAGTGTAGTTCTGTTTTTTTTTTACTCGAACATGGCACATGTTTCAAATGCAGATTCGCCCATAACGGCTCGCATCGAGGACGGCATCGTGTATTCACCGCTCCCGTCTTTCGATATACCCAAGTGTTCCTTCTACGCAATGACAAGGGAGCTAGTAAAGAATGCTCCTGAAAAGGTGATGCTGGTAAGTAATGATGCAGTTGACATGTCCCTTACTGAATAAGAAGCTGAAAAACGCTCGAATGACCGCCTTGATCCGTCTGATGCCACAGCAATGACTTAGTTTTCCGCAGTATATCCATCATAGTCATATGACATCAAACTGTTAATGATGGCTACCTATTGACACAAATTATGTCCAAAGCTGAGCTTAGAAATTGAACATTCAAGTAGTGACGTTCGTTTCTTTCTCTACCGTGGCTCTCCTCTCGTTCGTTGTCTCCCGCTCCACCTTTTCCATTTCGGCGGCCGCTTCTCGTGGCGATCTGCCAGGCTTTGTCATTATAGAGGAGGCTATGGCTACAGTTACCACTCGTGCAACAAACGCAATGCTGGCGGCGGAAAAACACGGAGGATAAAATAATATAAATAAATAAAAATAAATAAATAAAAGACGGAAATACCGCGCTGGGGCCTTTTTCTTGTTGCACGACTGGTAACTCTAGTTCACCACCGCGTTTCCCACGCGCCCTATACCTTCATAAGATTGCTTATTTAGCGGTTTTCGATTAAGCTCAGCAAGTTTCTAAATCGTGCAATATCTTTATTTTTAATATTTAAAAAGATAATTAACGCATTATAGTTAATTAACCGACTTGTCAAGGCCATTATCCACGTAAATATGTCCCCCGTGCCGCATAACTCAACTGTACAGACCGGATTAGTGCAAAGTACACAGCTTTTCTAAAACAATTTGTAGAGATTTGAAGAAAAAAAACACAATGTATATATATTTTACGCGAAACATGACTCCAGTATATCTTCCGAAGGCAGTTGAACAAGCATTTTAGGAATAGTTTATGTCTTTCTCTGAGGCAAAAGGCCATGAACCCTGCCGTGGTTTCTGCCTTCACCCAATGTTCTTTATAAGAGTGAACCCGATTCACAAATACACGCATCAAAATGCATATTATTCGTTCACGTTCGCTCATACAGGCGTTTTGGTTTCATCGCATTTGATTTCATTGATGTCGTCATTGTTCTTTATGGGCAGAGTAGACACTTGGACAATAAAATGTTGAGTGAAAATTCGCTTTGCTAAACCCGTTCTGAGCGCGTGGCTTGTAATTCGCGCGATGTATATTGTTTTTATCACCCATGAAGACTGTATGGTCCACATATATATAATAATTAAATAAACCCAATCTCAATGTTTTATAAAACCAACATATTTATCAGAGGAACGAGGTGGCCGAAAGGTATGGGTTACTGTCCGGCCTATTTCACATAACAAAAACGCGTACTTTGACTCTATGGCTATGGTGTTAGCTGTAATACATAATAAGCCCACGTGAGAGTCAAATGTCACATCGTTCGCGTGGTGGCGCATCAATGAACCTCTAATTGGTACTTGTATAAATATTTTGCGCTTTTTGCATCCGTCCCAGCCTCTGTACACGCATACTTCAGGACTAACTAGCACTGACCTAATGCAGAATCTGACCTGAAATTACCTGTCTCGTGTTGTATTTGGAATATTATTGTTCACACCTTCAAGTACGCTTTGACTCCTTTGATAATATATATATATTCTGAAAAAAAAAAAGAAACAGCTCGTTTTTTGTTCGTCTATAGCTCAGGCACGGTCTCACACCGATAAAACTTTCTTTATAAAGCCCGAGGATATATTTTTAAAATTTGTTATACATTCATTTTTCTGCAGGTTGACGATTCACACGCTTTTACACGGGCCGAATGCTTAACTCAAATGCAGCGCTACGCTGCAGGGTTCCAAGCCCACGGCATCCAACCAGGCGATCACCTGTGTGTGTACTTAGAAAATAGCATCGAGAACTACTTCGCCACGTTCGGGTGTGTTTTCGCCGGAGCAGTGATCGTCTTGGCGAAGACCTCTCTAACGGAAAGTATGTTTTATACAGAAACAATTTCCCTTAGTTTCTATCGTGAGACATTCTCACTCAGGGCACGGAAAAAGCTAAACAGCTCGTGTGCACCATCAGATTACGCTTCGCCTGAAATATATTATGTGCCCTCCTAAGTGCCCAGCTTGACTGTCTTTGTACTCCGTGCCGCGTCGCAGGCTACATTCATTAGTAACATAAATAGCGCGAAGGACAGGCAAGGATTTGAACATGAAGATGCGGTACTAGCGCTAACTCACAACTGTCGTTTTAATACGATTACAAGATATTGAATTAAAACGACAGTTGTGAGTTAGCTAACACTAGTCACGTTTTTGTGTCCTTCTCCTTGTCTGTCCTTCGCGCTATCTAAGTTCGTTAAGTATTCGTTACGTTGCACGCTTTGTATGTAAGCTATTTTTTAGCCCTCTGGCGAGCGCGGTTACTGGCATGCTTCGCTGAATAGTAAACGCACGGACAATCATCAATCTTTGTGCTCGCTATGGAGCCCTCCAGTACATGTATGCTTGCCGGCAAAGCGCGCAGAGCTCCAAGCATATCTGGCAACCACTATTCTCGAAACGTTAGATTTACATGTGTGTGAAGCGTAAATTTAGTTTCGGAGCAAGAACCAATCCAGTGACTTTGTTCCCAAATAAGATATATACGGGGTGTATAAGGAGTGGCCAGGCTTTTTAAATCGACCGCAAAATTAGGTTTCTTAACCTATCGCGCTACGACTTTGTGCAACGTTGCCCACAGATGGTGCATTTTTTTTTTTTTTTTGTAAAATTTGCAGAGAGCAAACTTACCTGAGAAAAAAAGTAAAGGAAGAAAAAGGCTTAGCTCCTATGGAAATGCGGCGAAGCCGAAGGTTTTCAAGCAATGCGGCGCCGTTTCGCACGGGAGACAAGAGATGGCGCAAGCGGTCGCGATGCCAACTGCGCCAACGAACGAGCATATTGCGCCGAGAGCTGGCGTCATTAGCAGACGATCTTTTCGACTCAAAAGCGGCGCGAGCTTTTCTGATATCTGTTGCCAATGCATTATTTTATCATCCTTACTGATAAATCATATTCAGTGAACACACAATCGATTGGAAAAACGATTTGTCGGGATATTTTGACTGATTTTTTTCGGGGTACCGATGTCGTCTGCTTTGCAGTTCCTTGTTGTTACCGCGCCTGTTTTTGTTTCAGCGACTGTCGCCGCCTGCGGAACGCGCTCCGCTTTCGAGACGAAAAGGTTGTCTGCTAAGGACGCCGGTTCTCGGCGCCGTATGCTCGTTCGTTGGCGCAGTTGGCTTCGCGACCGCTTCCGCCATCTCTTGTCTCCCGTGCGAAACGGCGCCGTATTGTTTGAAAGTTCGCTCTTTGCAACTTTTACACACAAAAAAATGCACCATTTGTGGGCAACGCTGCACAAAGTCGTAGCGCGATAGGCTAAGAAACCGCATTTCGCGGTCGATTTGAAAAGCCTGGCCACTCCATGATACACCCAGTAGTTATGACGGGGGATGTTATACTAGCCCTGGTAATGCCGGGCATATTCAGTTATTTTTATGCTACTGAAAACAAATAGTGGAACAAATAGTGAAAACAAATAATCCCCGGTCAGAGAAAAAACAAATTTGCTTGCTTGATTACTTGATATAAAAAAAAAATTCACTTTACTTAATAGAAGTTTTTCCTATTACTTTTCTTCATCTGGATTGAGGAGGTTGCAGAGCAATGTCTTTGTGAACCCAGCCATCAGTTCCCAGGGAGAGCTTTAGGGACCGTTCACACACTTGCAACCGAGTAGTGCCGAGACCGAGAGAAGACCGGTTTTTAGGCTTCTTGCGGCGGCGTAGGACCGAATGCGCTGCTGCGGCGCTTGTCCTTAGCCGTCGCGAGAGACTTAAAAACCGGTCTTGGCTTGTTGGGTTCTACTCGGTTGCAAGTGCCTTCAGTATATGTATAGGGTGTCCCAAGTCACCAGGCTCGATCTAAAATTGACCCAAAAAATCGGCGCATGCACGTAGCAATCTAATCTTTTCGTCAAAAGTGTATTTCACAGGTCGGTTTTTTCTTGTAAAATTACGAAGCGTAGATCCCCGACGAAAAGTTTAGATTCCAACGTTGCAACGGGCAGGTGTCGATTTTTACAGTCCATTTTTGATCGAGTCATGATGACTTGGGACACCCTATATAAAATCAGTTTTATGTAATTTTATCCAGAGATATACTCCAGACACAAATTATCATGGCACTTAGTCTCTGACAAGCAAGTTTTACAAGAGCTACATCGAGCAGTGTATAAACTATGAACAAATTATTTTGTGCATAGTTTGGGGTGGGGGGGGGGGGGGGGGGGGGTTATACGGAAGCCGGAGGAAAACCAACGAGACACCAGTTAGGAATTTCTTAATCTACATGTTATGAAGAGATTATATGCTACATATATCAGTGTTCCTTGTCCGAGACGATATACGGTGGATCAGTTTGTCCGCTTTGAACAAATATTTAGAGAACAGCTCGAGCATAAGAAGCACTGCACATCGGTTTTCTTTCACCGAGAAAAGGAATTTGAAAGGAAGTGTTTATGCGAGTAGAAAAGCGAAATCAGAAATCATCTCGGTGAACGTTGAAATTCTTGGGCTACACCGGAAGCCATCCCGCATAAGCTCATAATCGTTCATGATCCGCGGCATCTAATGATATCCCCAATTACCAACCACGCACTGTGTTGTGCTCGTAGCACCTAAGCTGCGGGCTATTGAGTAAAACACCTTTTACTCTTGTCTAAATACTAACATGCTTTCTGTTTCAGGGGAACTCCAGTACCAAGTAAAGGAGGCCGACGTTGTGCACATTTTGACAGAACAAAAGTTCGTCCAGAAAGTTAAGAATGTGGATGCCGTGACCCCATTCAAGGTATCTTTGTGAGACTAATCTCTGAATCATATGACTAAGAATTACGTTAATATGTCAATTTACAAAACGAAAATAAAGAAACGTAAATTGTTTAGACCGAGGCGCAAACAGAAAGGCGAAAACCGGCAAGCGATGCCTTCTTTTCGTCCCAGAAAGGACGAATCCTCTCATCCCCTCTGCAAGGGGGAGGGAAGGGGCACTTTTGTATGCCCTCTCCTTTCGGGCGAAGAGAAGGAATGATTAATTGAATGGAAAGCGCCGAATGAACAAGGACGAAGAAGGGGACAGAGACGAAGCGCACTCACAACTGAAGGTTTATTAAAAACAACATTGACTATTAATAGCGTCTATCGGGGTGTTGGCTCAAAAAGAAAAACTCTTTATCAGTTAAGTGCAGTGACGGCGCACTAATACACAGACTCACCCCTTGCTCTCTTATGCGGAATGCCGCGTGTATTTCTCGCGCTGTTTTGTTTTCGTATCTACCCAGAACTGTTGTTTTCTAGATGCAAAGCATCTCTTGCTCGGATCTATGTCCCGCGGCGTCGTAGTCCGCACTCACACTACGCATGCGCAACTCTCCTCCTTCCCTCTCTCCAACAGCTGCGTGTTACTCTCTCCGCTCTCTCTCTCTACCAGCTGCGTGCACTTCGCGTGCGTTCGCTCCTACTCACACCGCGCGCGCATGCGCAACTCTCCTCCTCTAGTCTCCTCTCCTTCAAGTGTGAATATAAGCAGCGGTAGCGCGCTGCGCGCGTTCAGTTCACCGCTGTTGACTCCACTTCACTCCGTTCTTCCGATGAAGTGTGATGTAAGGAAAAGTCCCGTCAGTTAGTGGGTTGGCGCAAGCAAGCGTCAGCACACCCTCACAAACTAACGCAATAACACGCAAGTTAACAACGTTACTAACAACGTTACTAACACCGTTAATAACACCGTTAATAACGATACGCGATGCTCCGCATCACCCCATGGTTCCCCTCGGGAAGATGGTGTAATTTTTTTTCAATTCCCGGCCACATGGGCACCTACCACAATGCACCGCAAGATTGCCGGACGGGGACTGTTTGATTGACCAGGCATGTTCTCTGGCCCTTTCATTTTTGCAACGCCCCGTTTGGCCCACATTCCATTTCCCGCAACTCAATGGTATGTTATACACCACTGACGTTGCACGTTCCACGTATTGATTAGCGTGTTTCTTTTGACACACCTTACCCTCTCCCATTTCGTTGTTTGTTTTTGAACACAGGTGAGACAGCTTGTGTGGCGCTGAAAACACCACTGGCACTTTAAAATGAGCCGCCACTTTTTTTAGTTTGTGCGATAGATTATGAATATAAGGAATCACCGCCGGTCTTGTTAGTTTTCTGGAAGGAATATGATCGTCATCTTTTCTCTTCATCTTGGAAACAAGGTTATCCGCTACTTCCACCAAGAATCGATCGGGGTACCCTCCGCGTTTAAGACGATTCACCTGCGTGAGGAAGCTTTCATCCCCGACATGGTGGCATGATTTTGCAAGGGAGGCTCTTATTAGGCACGATGCTGTTCCCCTTTTAACGAGTTTCGATTGCGCAGAATTGAAGGGCAGAACCCCCTTCTTAGTTCGCGGCTCACACACTCTGAGAAAAAATAAAGGAAAAAAGTAGCAACGGCGAGTCTTCCTCCCTTCTACCGACGCGCCCCCAAGCGGACACGAGAAAAGGGGAGCAACGAAACGTTTTTCTCCTTCTCCAGGCAGACGGGAGAAAGCTTTCGCCATCCCGACTCATCCTCTTTCGGTTTTGTTTTTCGAGCAGGTCGCGCACGTTGTTTAATAAATAGCTGTTGAGTTGATTGAGCTTCAGCGGCAGCGAACGCCGCCTGTAATTCCGTCTTCTAGTCTAAACTTGCAGAACATTTCGGTTGCATTGACGTTTTTATCACTAATTTTATCAAACGAGCAAACAAAGCCGCTTGAAACAGCGAAGTTCCGGAGCAGTGCCAGCAGCGCCACGTACACTGGGCGATGGCCGTCTCCGGATTGCGGGACTCGCGCGGCACGGAGCTACAGCAACTACAGCACTGCAGTCACTACAGTAGCGAAACCACGCGTAACTGTGTCGACGTTTTCGACGTTATGGAAATCGCAGGAACTGCGTCCAAGACAGGCAGGTTTTGCTGCCGGCTGCCTGGGTGCCTTCCCCCCTGAGTTCGGTTCTGTTTTCCGATGCCGAGTGCAACCGGCGTTCAACGTGGTTCTGTGTTTGTGCGTGTCAGCAACATAGCTGCAACATCGTGATGGCAGTGTTGTGGGTAGTGAACAGAAGACTGGAATTATCGCCGATGTGACCGTGTGTTCGCGTATCAGTGGTGTAACAAGAAAATGAGATCGTAAAGTGTCGCAGGTTGACATTCCGCTTTACATTAAAAAGTTTAATACCACTTCAGGGATTACGTGCAATCGATCAACTTGCGGATTGTCATGTTGGAACACTGGTCTGAACAGTAAAAGCTCCTATCGTACAGTGGCCAATGTGACTGTCGGAATTGTCTCGTCCCGGAGAGCGATTGCGCTCTGGGGCAAGGACTGAACAGTACGAAATCGTGAAGGAAAGTACGTATATTTACAGTATGGAATTTCGGCATTAAAAAACAATAGTAGGTAAAATCGAAAAAAGAAGCTACCCTTTATTTTGCTGTTTAAATATACTACGGTTCCTGGAGAAACTGCCCTCCGTGGCGCGCTAGGATGAGCGCTAGAAGTTTTCGGGCTCGCCACGGCGTAGCTCCGTACACTTAACACCTGCCGCAAGTCGCGGCTTTGACTGCATTCAAGTTGATCGAAAAGCGATTTCTTAGCCCGTGAAGCATCACTTCCAGCTGAGTGAATATCCGCTCTACAGAGATTAATTCAAGACGGCAATTGCAGCTTTGCGCGAACAGCACATATAGAAAAACCAATAGAAATACAGGCTACGACGTGCCGTGTGGGGAAACAAACTCGTGGCTTCGAACCGCATTAGAGCGGCTTGATTTATTAGCTTTCAAATAATTACGGCATGATCGAGCGTTTACTTTTTAATAGGAGATTCATCGCCTGAGCCTTTCAAAATACTCTCAGAGGTATGACATTGCTGGGAAAAATTCAACATGCTGGGTATATTTTTTATTGCTTAGGGAGTCACCGAAAAGTTCCGTACGTTCAAAACGACCAGTATAAAAGACGAAAACGCAGAGCACGGGTGTAGTGTTCGGGTTAGTGTGGAGTTCCGTTGTATTGATATTTATGTGCTCAGTGTATGTTCACCTGATGCTTTAAGCGGAATGTGTGTATAGTAGAGGATCCCCAAGCGCAGTAGTGACGTCAGAAAAAAAAATTTATTTTTGTAAAACATGAATTGGGCGGTACCTAGCGCCATCTAGCCTAGCTACTTGCAATTACTCTGCTTGACCCCGCCATCTGGTGGCTAGCGATTTAACCTTCTTTCACGCTACGCAATAAACAGCGGCTTCGAGTTTGTTCTTTCGAGAGCGGCTTTTGGTTTCGCGGATTGAGTTTGCCCTTCTCCGTGATGTGCGGTTGACGAAGGAATTGTGACTGGAGGAACACCAAAGGTAAGACACAAAGTGCGCGAAGTAACTGGGTATCGGTTGTCTCCGTTTAACATCGCTGTGCTGTCGACGAGAAGACTGAGTAACTGCTTTCGAAACGCAAGTTTCTGTACCTGTGGGGGGAATCTGGCTTCGGAAATAAACACAGTTTGCGGAAAGCTCGTGTTACGCTTTCATTTGCTGCTGCTCTCGTCCCGTACAAGAGACGTAGCGTCCTTGTCAAGCCTTATTGGACTCGATTTGCTCTATTCGGGGACGCCATATTGAGATGCAAGTGACGGAGGAACTTTGCTCCCCTGCTTCAGGGACGAAAGTTTCTCCCTTTCTAAAGGAACATAGGTCACAAGACCGTTCCTCCCCTAAGGGAGGACTATCCATACCCTTTTTTCTAAGAGTGTATTTCCAACAAACATGGTCACCTTCGAAGTTGAGGCTCAAATCCAAAAACTGAAGCCATCCCATCGTCATAGTTTCATGGGTGAACGTCAATCCGTGTGAATGCAAGTTAAAACAATCCAGCACATCGCTGATTAAGTCCATGGCATCAGTAACGGACTTCGGGGCAAGCACCAAGAAATCATCGACATACCGACAGATTGTGAACTTCGCCATTCTTTTGATATCCTTACATATTCTCTTATCACATTCAGCCAAAAATATATCGCAAAGCACTGGCGCAACACGGGAACCAATACATATGCCTCGCTTTTGAACATGAATGATGAATGAGGGCTAGGAGCAGTGAAGAGGGACATTGCGGATTTCTGCCTGGCAAAAAGCGCTGCCTGCGCGTCGACCTTCAAAATTGGTACAACGATGGCGCTCTTTATAGAGTATATAGCTCCCCAACCGGGCAAAAGAAAAGCTTTATTATTTTTATATAGGGCAGTGTGTAGACCTTTAGGTACGAAGTTTCCGCGCAATTCAGGTTCCGCGCAGTGTAATTGAGATTAGCTTCCCGCTCGTCGATCGCATCCCACTAGAAGTGAGTGAAAGGTGCAAGCGAGCGACTGACCGTAATGATTTCCGATCTGTTGGAAGCTAAGGAGCGTCTTCATTTTATTTTGGAAAGGAGGACACCGGCCGTTCGCCCTCTGGCTAGCATGGCCTTCCAGGATTGGTCGCCCGATTAGATTCGGTGACAAAGTGCCGCAATTTTGTGGCTTTCGATTTTGCAACCACGATATGGTTCGGAAACTAACCCTTGAACCATGTCCTCTAGACTGTTTTGGTGAACGTAGAAGTATAGTGAAAGTCCACGCAAAGAAAATGGCGCGGGGCGAGTTGCGAGCATTGTACTACCGTTCCGCAGCTAATAGGAAGTTTTAGAGAACCGTTTTCGCACATACGATACGGTACAATGGGCCCTCCGGTACGAACTGTTCATATGATACCGCGGAAGA